TTAGGATTGCTGCTATACAAGGGAGAGGAAATATATTAAAAGGAAGCTTTTAATGAAGGAATGGATGAAAGACTTCCAGCTACAGGAGATTAACATTCTTATCATATATACTCTTATTGCAAAGAAAAGGAAAGAGGTGGGAGGCGAGAACCCTCTTTCAAAGACCTGGAACCTTTCCGACACTAAAAATGAATTCAGTACATTAATAAATGGTACAATTTGTAATGATTCACTTTTTACATTTTACTCTGGGCTCCAAACACTTAAAAAGTTCAGGAAAATTATAATAAAGACCTAGATTTACTGGATTTTGAAATGACAGATTGGAGGGAAGCTCTTTTGTGAAGTAAAAGGAAACAGCTGGGTGTACTTTTATAAACGCAATATAAGGAAATCCAAAAAGATGACAAGCTGGGTATAAGTGATATACATAGCAAACAGTATACAGGTATGGTCAGTATAGCCCATCTGTCTTTGATCGCAGCTTATCGCATGTAATTTTGAGAGTCTTGTTCAGGTCCAAATTTATGCATCATCTCATCACAGAAAATTAACTCAGAGTAAGGTGCATCAAAACCACTACAGACACAGTAACTACTTTCCCCTTGCTCCCTGAGATTTCTCTGTATTGAAACAAGGAAGCCAGCATCCATCTTCATATCGCAAATAACGAAAGCCTGCAAATCTATTAGGTTTGCTGAAAAAACAGTAGATGTATGACTAAAAGTTACATTTTATAGAAATATGAGAACAAGCAGTTTTACTTATGTGGTACGAGACAAGCAAAACTGAAAAGTGAAAGACAAAAAAAGTAATTTGGAGGAAGGCCAGAAAATGGAGAAAAAGTTTTCATCTGCATGATCTGACTTGCCACAATTTTCAAAATATTCACTGATGATAGAAAGATACAGGTGAATCTTGATCTATGATCAAAGAACCAATGCTCAGTTTTCCAAGGCAAACGGACACCTCTTTTTGTTACAATAGGAGAAGGTGGTCACTGAAGCTAGAAGGCTGTATGCACAGAAGAGTCTCTCCGTATTGGAGGATTCAAAAAAGTATGCTTGTAAAGAATATTAAAAAATTACAAGGCTATTACTTTAAAGCAGCGCAGGCAAGTAAGATGTAGAAAAATTAACACAATGAGGAGATATACTTGATTCCTTTCCTTGAACAATTGTTTCTGATTCCAGTGGAACCTCAGCGTCGCAGCGGCTCAGACAGGAAAACACTAATCAAATGACTGACACAACAGGCTCCTTTGACAGTCAGAGCATCGTTCACATTTCAGTTCCCTTTTTAATGTGAAGCAAAACTGACACTATACATACCATGAAACTGTCACGGGAGGTCCATCCCATTTACACAGCCATAAACACTCTCCATGGAGAAGGGAATAAGCAAGGTTTCACCAGGCCCCAAATTTTACGTTACATCTTTACTCATATTTCAAGCCTTAAAGTAATAATTTACATAGTGTGTAATCTGCTAAATATTTGATCTTGTTCTTTAGAAAGCCTGGAAATACAACTACACTTGTCTGAAAATAATTTATATGAATTAGCAGAGAATATCTTTAAAAGGATAATTTTCTAAAACAAATAATTTTTAAAAATTCCTTTCCTTCCTTGAATTTAAATTTTTTATTTTTAAGTTTCAGCAAATGACTGCTTTACAGTCTATGTAACTTGGCATGTAATGCTGTGTAAGCTCAATAAACCAATCAGGGCTACTTTACATAATTAAGACTTCTGGCTTTTGTTCCCTAAAACAAGCAACTAGGTTTAAAATTATCAATATTTTGATGATGTTTTGGCTTTTGATTACATACATACAATGGAATAAATTTATTTCTGACCTGTGTCTCTGCATCCTCATCACCGTATAAGCTAGAAATGAAGCAAGAATTGAACCAACCTTTCTACAATGGAGCTAGCTGAAAAACAGTCACTTACATTTTAGACACAGTAGAAAAATACGGATTTAACCTACAATTCAATTGAGCGGTACATTTTACATCTCAGAATACATTCTTATGTCAGGGGTTAGCATTAGAGCATGCTGCTGTGTTCCAGCCATCACATACAGTAGATTCCAACATATCATCACCTTCCTCCTTCACACTCAGAAGAAAATGTGCAAACATTAAGACTTTCTGCAAAGTAATATATATGTAAAAAAGGAAAAAGCTTACATGAAAACAAAGATGGGTATACAAATCTAGAACCTGGTACAAAACTGCTCTGTACGACGGATGACTGTTCTGCAAGTCTTAAACCTCCAAGCACAATATTACTGTTGATCACACCATAACTGATGTTACACAAAACGCAAGAAGGGTTTTTGATGCTGAAGTAGTTCTGGAACAGCTTGGAGAACAAAAATCACAGAGCAGAAGTGGAAAGTTATGTTTATGACCCTCTTGTGTGAATGTCTGTGACTTCCAATTCAAGGAGCTCAAAACAGATATACGTCTCTTACACTAAATGAGAAAATTCAAATTCTGTTAATTTCGACAAGTTCATAAAGGATAGGAAAATTCTTTCTCGCTTATCTGCTTTGAATGCAGCTTGGTTATTGTCAAAACCTAAGCCAAAATAAGAAACATATTACTATATTTGTTATGGAAACACGCAACTAAGGCAAAACTGTCTACTGATACTAACCTAGTAAATTAAAGCTACATTAATTTTTAAAAGCTGCTCTCAGGTAGCATTTGCACACCTTTATTAGGAAAGCACAAAGAATAGAGATAACAATTTTCATTGTCATATTATACCTTTTCATGCTATGCATAACCTTTCTGATAAATTAATTACAAAATATTTCCAAAAATATGGATCTGTAATTTTGAAATTTGCTTAAAAGCTCAAATATGAGCTCAAACAAGCGTTTAAACATTTTTCTATTTTCGGGTGATCTTTAGGGCTACTGTCAGCAATTTCCATACATAAACCCAAGGAGATATATAGAGTAATCTGAAAAAAAGAAACCTAACCCAAGGTCATTTGCTTGTCCAATAGTTATGAGAAAAACAGAAGCTAATCTGAAAATGTATTAACTGTGCAATACACAAACTGTATCCCTGTTACAGAAGTCACCACATGGCCTGAAACATTTGTTCCGCAATAGGGAGAGTATTTTAAGAAAAAAATTACAAAATGATTAGCTCTGGTTTTGAAGAAAAGGTTAGAAAAAGAAAATATAAAAAGAAAACTAGCAATAAAATTTAGCAACTTTGAGTTAATTAAAATTTATATTTATATTTTAAAACATTTAAAAGGAGAAAAATAGTTACATAAATTCTAAATATAATGTGACTATCTGGGTTTGCACAACGGCACCTGTATTCTTAGTCATTCCTCTGGTACTGCACTGGGAACATAGAAAGCGTTTTTTAATTATCTGACAGTTGGGCAACCACATCAAAGTCTTTAATCAACCGTCTGAGATCCAGTGCATGGTACAGTTTATTTAGCAAAGCACTATGGATAACTAAGCAAAAACATACACAAGAAACACTCTAGGCAAAAAGTTACTGAAATGGCAAGAAACAGGTGTCTGACCAGAAAAGAATGAAAGAAAATCTCTCAGTTGTCCCTTCTCAAAGAGATTACCACCACCATGTGAACAATATCATTGTTTACATAGTCATCCTGAGAAAAAACTTTACTAGTGTCAGTCTACAGACTGGAACTACAGAACATCCCATTTCCCTGCACCCCAAAAACACTTTCACACGTGCACCAAATAAAATTATGGCCTTTTTTTTTTTTAATGCTGAAGTCTATCGAAGGCCCCAACTGCCGCAGCTCATCGGCTAGCCTTTCTACTGAATAAATGTTTCTTAAGGTAATATTATCTTTTGGGAACTGACAGGATATGCTCTTTCTGAAAATGACCTTTTTGCATCAAGAAACTGATGGGTAAGAAAAAAAGGTAAGAAGATTACATAACAGAGTTTTTAGTCACTGGTGCCAGGATACACATTCTCTCAACAACAAAATAACTGACATCATAAGGCATTACCAATGCTGCAACATGCACTTCACACAGAAGTGACTTATTACAAACACAGAGCTGTAATCTACTTCATAAACTATCACATTTACTCATTTTCTCTACAGTGATTTGGAAACAGATTTTGCAAAATACCAAAATGTTAGATATTAATAATCTTGCTGCGTGGGAACCTCTCTGAATTATTCAATGCAGAATCCTTACAAGAAGTTAGGGTAAATTCTAGATAAACAGCCCAAATTGACAGAGTCTTGAAAGCACGGTTATAGAATCTCTTTCTCAAGAAGCGGAATCAGCTTAGAAAGTCTTCCCTCTATTCTTTCCCGTCTCCTGTTACAGTTTATCCCCTTTTTCAGCTGTAATTTTTCTGGTCTAACATATAGCAAAGCCTTAAAAAGCATTTGCGTCTCGACAGCTGAGGGGCAATGAGCCAAGGCACAGGAAGCAGAGAGGCAGAAATTTCAGTTTGGTTTCATCACATAAAAAGATGAATGACCCTGCTCCCTGGGTTATGAACACTGATTATGTTCCTACCCGGCTATATTTTTCAGAAAACTTGTTGTTGTTATGTAATTCCTACTTCTGATTTTATTTCTTTAGTCCCAAAGCTCTTTTCTTTGCTACTTACTTTGTTTACAGTAATACGCCACTGTATCCCCTCTTTATCCCCCGCACTCCTTACTACAAAGGAATGTAAAGGAAAGTCAGAAAGTCCACAGTGCATATCACTCTGATACTACTGCTAAATTTCTAACAGCAAGAACACCGTCTTTATAGCCTATTACAAAGTACGCTTACATATATGACACTATTGAAATAACAATGCTATAAATGGTTATTTGCTTCATCACAGTTTGCACCCAGCATTATACGCTCCAATTTACTTTCTATTTATCTTCCCTTTAAAATATTGGCATCACTGTCATTGCAGCCAAACCCTTCCTCATCTGAAAGGACAAAAGTAATAAAAAAGTACTAACCTTCACTGACAGACGTTCCACAGCCTTCAAGGTTCAAAATGATATCTTCATCTTTGTCATCTGCGCTGCATCCTAAAAGCATCCAGCTCTCCACATTATCACTTTCAGAGAGCAAGCTCTCCTCCTCCTCATTTGAGCTATCATCTATTACCATCACCTTTTGCTTCACATGAGTTCCAGCAGAAGTAACTGAGTTAAGCTTCCCACTAGCCCTTTTCCTTTGACTTGAAACTTTTGTGACCGATTCAGCCGGATCCAGGGTATTACACTCGGCAGCTTTGGCATGATTTGGGGTGGAAATTTCTGGATGGACATATTTTTTCCCTGCTGAATCTAAAGAGCCTGTTGACTTCTGTGCTTTGCTTTTGTAAACACTGTCTTCATCTGGTGTATCAGACAAGATGATGATCTCATGGCCATCTGAAATCTGAACGACATCACGATCAGTCCATTCAACAGTGTTCTTGTCTTGATGCAATTTCTCAGTCAAAACTGAACTCTGACCCCCGATTCCTGCAATATCAGCTTCTTCATTTATTTCCAGCCTGCTGTTTTCTCCAAGATTTTGGGAATAGTGGATCTGGCTGTAAAGATGAAATTCTACCTCACTATCCACACTCTGCTCACTGGACGACGCCTCATGATAAAGTTCATCTTCATACACTTCAATATCTTCTGTGTCTTCATATCCATCAAACATTCTGGAAGGAAAACAGACTCTATCTACAAAAAACAAAAGATCACATCAGTATGATCAAGAATGTATGTCTGAAAGCACCTTTCAAGTGATACATTTGGTCTTTTTGAAATTAACAGGAATAGCTAAAAGTTAGTCTTAAAGCTCTAGCTACAGAAGACAGGACTGAGCAGATTTACAGCTGCAAAAATTAATTCTCACACAAAAGCAAAAGCTATAGAGCTCTCTATACAGAAGACAGGGCTGTGCAGATTTTACCTGCAAAAATAAATTCTCATAACAACAATAGGAAAAGCTACTTAAGGCAGCATCTTGTTTAATCTCAGCTACTACTGTAACCAGAACTATTTTGACTTCTCAAAGTTGTATTTAGTTTGCTCTCAGATTCCCCAGCACTTTTCCATTTGTTCAAATATAGCGTTCCTGTATGGACTGGGAACCAAACTGAAACGTCCAAATCCCAGTTTTGATCACTCCACCAACTAGCATCAGTTTTGGATATCTGCAGCTTATGTTACTAAGTAATGTCTTATATAGATGCCCAAAATAACATAGAAGCAACATTCACCAGTATTTTTACAGAAGTAGCCTGGAGTGTATCTACACCTGGGTTGTAGAATCACCTAAGCTGGCACTTTGTAATTTAACCCTAGAACCAGACGCGCAACAGGTATGGTACAGATGTACCCAGACACTTGCTGCACAAGCGTAGGTCTAAAGGTAGTATAAAAAGTAAAGTAAAGGTAGTATACAAACCTGCAGCCTTCACATACACTAAAACGTTGAACTCTCCTAGAAGAACCTATGAACTGAGTTACTACGCCACGAACAACCCTCTTAGATCTTAAGAAAGTACACCCGCAGACACCATCAGGACTTAATCGCCCAACTCAGCATTAGCTGTGAGATCTCTGTACTGCTACCAATTGTGCAATAACTATATACAACCTCTACTGGCTTTTTTGGTGGATCTAGGATTAAAGTCCAAATTTCTCTTCTCATCCACTCAGCAATACTGCTTGTCAGGCAAATGTGCCATAAGACCTGGGCGATGGGACAGAATATACCCTCAGCAAGTCTGTAGACGATTCAAAATTGGAGGAGTGGGTGATACACCAGAGGGCTGTGCTGTCATTCAGAGGGACCTTGACAGACGGGCAAAATGGGCCAACAGGAACATCACGAAGTTGAACAAGGGAAAACACAAAGTCCTGCACCTGGGAAGGTAGAGCCCCACACATCATGACATGCTGAGAGCCAACCACCTGGAAAAAAGGGATCTGGGTGTTGGATCATGAGTCAGCAATGCACCCTTGCAACAGAGAAGGCCAACAGCATTTCAGGCTGCTTTAGGAAGCCTGCTGCTAGCAGGTTGAGGGAGGTGAGCCTTCCCCTCTACTCAGCTCTGGTGAGGCCACATCTGGGATCCTGTGTTCAGTTCTGAGCTCTCCAGTACCAGAAATATATGGGCATACCGGAGCAAGCACAGCAAAGGGCCACAAAGATGATTAAGGGACTGGAGTCACACGAGAAAAAGCTGAGAGAGCTGGGACTGTTCAGCCTGGAGGAGAGCAGGTTCAGAGGAGATCTTACCAGTGTGTACAAATACCTGATAGGAGAGCGAGTAAAGAAGATGGAGCCAGACTCTTCTCAGTGGCACCCAATGACAGGACAAGAGGCAACAGATATAAATTGAAATACAGGAAATTCCACTTAAAAGTAAGAAAAAACTTTTTGGTCAAACGCTAGAACAGCTCGTTCAAAGAGGCTGTGGAGTTTCTGTCCCTGGAGATTTTCAAAACCTGACTCACCATGGTCCTGGGCAGCCTGCTCTAGCTGACACTGCTTTGTGCCAAGCGGGCTGGGCTAGACGATCTCCAGAGGTTCCTTCTAACCTTCAACTATCTGTGATTCCACGGTCCCAATCAAAGGGAGAGTATTTCTAAAAAGGTCACTGACATTCCCTAACAAGACAGAAAATTCAAAGATACTCTGAAGTTACTTTGTGTAATTCACGGGCCACATTTTTTCATTTTACATGACCACATAATGTATGGAGGAGAATAAAAAGAATACTTTCTCTTTATTTCTTTGCTACACTAAATCCTGGGGATGATAACAAACTTTTCTGGACATGAAATAAATGCCAAACTGAACTCAGATCAGTCTGAGATCTTGCTTATGGAAGAAAATGGTAAAGTATTGCTTAATACAGAGCACATATACATGTGCCCTGCACATACAGATACGCAAGTACAAAAGTTTAAATCGAGGAAATCAAACTGGAGAGGAACATACCTTTTTCCATAGAAATAAACAAAATAAAAAATTGCAAACATGAGTGGACAAGCAGGAAAAAAAGCATACTTAACAGTCCATACAGTATACTCCTGTCCTGTTTAGGCTTCAAGTAGATCAGCATGCACTACTCAGTCCTCCTTGTACAGCTATGAAGTCACTTTGGTAATAATCTGCTGAGATCAAATTCAAACAGCATCAGAATCCTACTCATTCATACCTTTTCACAGCTTTGCTACCTCTGTATCAGAGACAACAAAGGTTGATTTCTAATCTAACAACAAAACCCTCAAAATTAAACAATGGTGATTTTAATATCTGCTTTAAAAAGTGCTCCTATCCACACGATGACCAAGGAATTAGACACGGACACCTTTAATTTCCTGGAAACTCATCAGATTTCTAGAACTCCTGATAGGGATCTCTACTTAGCAATATAATATATGCAATGATAATCTGATACATGGATATATCTGCTAATTACTAGACTCTGCTTCTCTCACTGTGCGAGTTTTTAGCTATATGCCATATATATTATCTCAAATAAAATATGAAAGAATGAAGTCAGAACTGAGTGATAAGAGACATGGCAAACCTATTTTATACTAGTAGTTATATTTATATGCTGTATATATGAGAAAAAAGTAAAACCTAGGTCACCGAAACTGTTTTAGGCAGTAAAAACTAAGATAGAAAGACAGCTGACAGACCAAATAAGCACCCCCGTTTAAAAATTTCTCTCATCTTTATGTGTGGAGTGATCCTTTCAAATGGATCATAACCAGTTCCGGTCCACAGAGTGAGAAGAGAAACAGAGCTGGCTCCAATCAAGCAAATTTAAACTATTAATCTCTGGTCATGGGAAGTGAAAAAAAGAACACTTTCCATAACACAGAAATCAAAGAATCCCCCTGAAGCAGGCAGCAGTTTCAGTGATACTCAAAAAGCAAACTTCTTAATTCAAACATGCCTTCCTTCTACTCCTGGCCCACCTTGGGTAAAGTTAGGCAAAGTAAGCAAATGAGGTATTACTGAAAACATATATCTAAACACGACTGCTGGATCTCAAGCGTCAAAGAATGCCAAAGTAGTTGACTCACAGACACTTCATAAACAAGACAGCAATAAGAAGAGGCAGCCTTGCACTGCAGTTGCTTTGATCTACCCTCTTAAGGCTCCAGAAGCTCAAGCTAGATAATGGTTCTTCCTTCTCTCTCATCTACCGAACAGCAGAACACTGAGGGGCTCTTTTCCTCTGATTCAGCATGTATTTCAGGCCACTATTAAACATCCTATACCAAAAACATTCTGCAGTCATCTAGTTCCACCTTTCACCATCATCAAATAACTACATCCTACCTCCTAATGCTACAGTGAGAAAAATCTGGTTCAAGTGCTAATCACAACAGACAAAAATAATGTCCATAGGAAAGGTGAAGAGAGCTTGACAAAGTTTTGCTTGTTTTCTGATTGTCAAGGTAAAGCAATCTCTTTCTCAAATAGAAAAAGACATTTCTGACTTCTAGTCTTCAGCTATTCAGATTTCCTTCCGGAAGCAGAAAGACTATGCACAGTAGTCTAAATCTTCTGGCTACCGGCTAGACTATGACAAAGTAATTCCTCATGTCTGAGTGCAAAAACCATGTAAAAAATTAAGCTGATCCTGCACAGAATAACTGATTTTATAGGTAATACTGGCTGTGGAAAGCATAACACCCAGATGTTTCACACTTTGGAACTGGCCTACCTCACTTTAAAAAATAAAAAACATACCAAAAAACCCTTCAAAGCCTAGCGTGTAGGAAAACTCCATCCCTTCATTAGCAGGAGTCCTACCACTGACTGAACCCAGAGCACAACCTTCAGTGCAAGCAAGACTTTCCTTTAAAAATACCTGACTATATCTCTGAGAGGCCCTAAATAAGACACCTTAAGTAAAGGGCTGCTGTTGTTGTTTTAAAAAAAAAAAAAATAAAGCCAACGCATCTGATTCTTTAAAGTATTTTTCAACAGAACTCCAGATGGCTATACCTAGAAGTTTTTGGGGAGAGAGGGTCGAAGAATGTTTCCCAGAGCACGTACAAAGTGTGCCTGACAGCATATTTTGTCTAGTCTATTAAAAATAAAATCATCACTACTTGGTAAAATAACAAAAATTGGCAGCAATACGGTCACAATCAGAAGCAAGATGCTGATGCTGACTTGAAGGTCAGGGAAAAAAGCACATAAGCTACTGAAAATACCCAAAGCAATTTTCAAGTTGCACGCGGGAAAGTGCTTCCTTAGCCAAAATTTCCAAGTACATTCAGACACAACACGCGTGCAGAAGGTGTTTTGCATAAAATGCCAGTAAGATTCCTGGGCCAATCTTTCCCATGCCATCCCTGCTTCGTACACATTATTTCTCCCTACCGCTTCTTCCTTTCCTCTGCTTAACTTCGTTCCACTGCTCTTATTTCTTCAACTCCTAAAAACTTTCAGAGCCCATACAGTAACTTTTCTCTCTTTTCCTCTTGCCATATGAAATATACATTCTGCTTAACTTCAAAACCTCTTTCAAAAAACTCTCGAGTTCCCTTTCAAAAAAGTCCATATTGAGGACTTGAAAAAAAAAAAAAAAAGGCTACAGAAAATACTAATTGCAAATAAGAAACCTGTTTATCCTTTGGTGTTGCAAAAATAACTTTTCAGAATACTGGTGCAATATTGCCACCAAGAATCAGTGAGTTCCATAAATTTCCTTATTTTTCTTGCTCTCTGCTTGATCTTTGCATTAATGTTAAATCTAACTTTTGATGAAAAAGGCTGCATTTAAGGTACAGCAACAAATGCATCCTATGTTGTTTTACAAGGTAAAGACAAAACATAAGAGTAGCATCAGACTCTCTGTTATAGGTAGGAAGAACAAAAAAATAGAAAAGATCATCTGAGGAACTTACCAAAACTTCCTAAAATCACAAGGCTCTACCATTCTATTCAGACGTTATCAACAGACTTTATATTTTAGTGCAGGTAGAAATCTTCTTTTTTTTCATTTCTGTCTGGTTATATTTGTGTTATATAAACTGAGTAGTACTTTAGACTGGCAGATATTGCACGTCTGCAGTTAACAAAAAACTTGATTCACCCATCTAATAAGCTTATTAAAGTTTAAAGATTGTACGTAGCCATCCGTGTTTAGTTAATAATTTAAATTTTCAAACCAGTTAAATGAAATCTTTAATTTAAACTGCTATAATTGTTTTGTATCCAATATCAGAAGTAACATCCCACTTTGTGAGAGATAAGCAATCAAACAGTACAGTGTAATGCCAAAATGAAAAAAAATCACATATTTATTTCTCTTGTTATCCTATAAAGGTTGCAAATGCCAAATCTGAAAACCTTTTTTGTTTAAATTGATGTATGCTTATTACAGGAGGTTAATGTTAGGAAGTAGTTCTACTTCACTTATGTTTCTGTAACAAATGAAATATTATAGTTCTTATTTTGGCATGAGGGGTAACCAAGTTGCATTCAAGCCAGGTAACAAAGAAATATATATATATATTTTTTGTCACCAAAGGTAAGACAGGCAGCCTTGAGATATCTACAGTAATGCCCTGCATGGACACGCTCAATCTGGAATAAAAACGTTCTCACAGAGAAACATTTCAAAATAGCTATCATGAGATAAGTGTCATGAAAGCTATTCCTGCCAAATTCCATGGATCAAGCCCTAAAAGGTACTTACTGTCCCAATTTCAAGTAGCCAAGAAAAAGGCAGACAGCACCATAAAGCTGATCTAATGGTTACACTGGCTTTTAGTTTAGTACTAGCTACTTCTGGCTAAACTTTGATACCAGCTTCTTCTGAGGATAACTTGCATTGCGCAGCGCCAAGGGATCTCAGACTCATTCCTGTGATGTTAATTTACTGTGTGTTTCTCTTCTGTAATTTGTTCAACTACAGTGCAAATGAGTCTAAAGAAGCAAAAAAAGCTTTTGGAAAACAGGTTAATGTTTTTCTAACAAGAAGTAATAATACCTTCAAGAGATCACAGGAAAATGTCTTCTACCCCCAAAACCCTGAGGAAAAAAAAGTTACAAAACACTTTTAAGTTTATTTCAAGCTTTTTGGAAGATTTTTCCCTTCTGACAAACAATCTTCAGAACCATGTGTGTTGCTTAGTGTGCAGTCATCGTCAAATAAATAGATTTGCTTTTCCTTAGATCAAGGATGAATTTGACCTGATGACCTTAGCACAGCTGGACCAGTCAAAATGTTTGTAATGTAAAAGAAATAGAGAGCTGGAGTTTCTGGAACAGCCAACAGGAGAGCAAATGATGATTCAAGCCATATGCATACTACTGAGAACCGTGTTTTAGGCTGTAGTGAACCACACAAACTTTAAGTGAGATCTTCACGAAACTGCATCCACTCCTTTCCAAATAAACTCCCTCCTTACGATCTCCATTAGAGTACTGTGTTCAGGACCGGAGCCACTAAAGATTTAACGTGCCTTTGGTCCTTGAGCTCATTTAAAGGTTAGGACACAATGCAGTCAGAGACAGACACTAACATAAATGACAAATGTAGTTGTTTAATGGCAAGCAGGTGTAAATTAAAGACATTTAAAACCTGCACTAGTACAGATGGCAGACCTCCAGCTACCTCCACATGGTCTTCCCGTTGAGGTGAATAAAGAGGGGCGGGCGTGGAAACTACACTGCACGTTTCAGGGACAGCTGTCGCAGTTTCGGCCTAGCTGGAAAGGGAGGAGCTGGAACATCCTGAGACAAGCCCAGACACAGAGACAGGCAAGACAAGGGCTGGGGGATACCAAGGCCGGGAGACCAAGCTGGGTGCTCAGTTCGGGTGTATGGGAAAAGCAACGCTGTGACTGAAGCACAGTGAACTTCGGGGGAGCTAGCGACGGGCTCTGCAGGCACCTCTGCAGCCAGAAG